AATTGTTTCCATTCAAGAAAGAGGTTGCAAAATATTGCGAACTTCTTGCTACCAGACAGGCAATGAATCGTTGCGAAGAAAATTATATAGAATCGATGGTTCTATATCTGTATATAAGAAATGTTACAAAAAATACACTTACATGAGTAAAAGCAATAAGATCGATTCAACGAATTCAGATAGACCATCAACTTCTGGAAGTAAATTAAGATCATCAAGCGATTTAAAAGATATGCCAATAAATTACAATAATTGTATTTTTTGTCAACGAGACTGTGCATCAGAAGGATTTAAGAAAGCTGAATCAAAAAAAGCTGCAAATAAACGAATAAAAGTTAAAAAAATAAAAAAAAATTTGCGATGTCGTGCGCAAGTACCCACATTTGCACAAAGATCTGAAACTCTTTTATGATCAAGAGACAACTAAGACAGCTTTATATGGCGTAGGGAAAAGCTGTATTGAGGCTCTATACAACTCTGACCCTGAAAAAGCTATCGACTTAGGTTTACTAAGATATCGCTGTTTTCAAAAGCGTACAACCAGTACAGCTCGTAAGCTGCATGATTTACCACCGACAACAGCTGCAGCAAACCAGCATATTCTACGAGCGTACTTACAAGTACAAAACTGGTTGTATCCTACTGCAAGCAAGTTGCCATGTGAATATGGGTGGGAGATTACGAGCAATGGTTTAATGCCAATTATTCTACCAAAAGGCATAAAACCATTGCACATGTCAGAAGCACGGAATTAAATGTGCAGCTGCGTGCAAATATTGCACAGGTTTAAATTGTGCAAACTCAGAATCAATTCAACAAACAGAAAAAAATTTGGAATTTGATGACGATGATGATGATAATGAATTATATATTTCTGATGTCAGTTCGCACTCATCAAAATCGAGTAGCAGAGACTCTTTTTCGGAAACGGAATCGATCATATCACACGTTCGTCCAGACTGGGAAGACACCGATGAATGTTTCAATAAGTATACTTGCGATACAAGTGATACAGATTCATCGGATTGTTCACAATACTCAAAAAGACAACGATTACAGTAATATTATAAAATTCTGAATAGTTTAAATTGTGCATTGATGTTGATGTTTAATAAAATATTGACAATATATTGAATAAATCTACTTCAATATTATGTAAATTGATCCCATGTATACAGTGGATTAATAAAAAATAGTGTACAGTTTAAAAGAAGCCATTTTTCGCCAAAAAAATTTTTCAAAAATAAAAAAAATTTTTTAAAGCCGTTTTTAAAATTATTCTTGACATTTCAGACCATATTGCTCATACTTATCTTAAAGAGCAATAAAAAACGTACATTAAAAAAAAAAAAATTTGTCGCTAGCGTGTGTTGCACAGTAGTTATCAGCCTGCCAATTTTAAAATTCAAACTGGCATTACGGCCGTCCTAATCAATATTTTTAATTGAAATTTGGTACACTTAATTATGACCACAAGAAGTATATTTTTCTATAGTATCATTAAAATCGAACGATTAAAAAAAAAGTTATAAAATAAAAACCAAAATTCATCGTTTTTTTGGAGTTTTATTTTTTTTTAGGTTAGGTTGCAATATTCCGAATTCGACCATCTTACATTTTTTGTAGTAAATTTTCTTACGAAGACACTGGTATTTTTTTTATTTCTGTACGTTGAAGGGGACCGGAGATATGAGCGAAAAACTGCGCATTTACTGCCTTTAGTGTACAAATTGTTAAAAAAAATATGGTTCCGTTCGTCGACCATATTGGAAAACTCAGGTTCCCTTTATTTGCATCATTTG